AAATCGTGAAGCATCGCAGACGCGACGTAGGTTGTCGTCCACTATGACACACTATACGAGATGATACTATCGAATCTTGCGAGATAAAAATAGGCTACTAAATTGAGCATGAAATTAAAATTTACCCTATCCATTTTGTGAAAGCATGGTGTAGATATTATTGTGAACAATTCATGGATTTTTTTTGACCTCGTCATGTTTAATCGAACATCTTAAACCCTGCCTCTTCACAATCTATTATAAGCATGCATCCATTTTGGAGTGTGCTATCCCTATAAATCCAAACAACAACTGAAGGATAGAATTTGGATGAAAAATGTACATTTTCGAAAAATTTCACTCGTCACAAAATGGAAGAAATGAACTGTCACTACTTCCTTGTACGAATTTCAGTGTTATTTTATAACAGAAAAATAATTTAACCACTTAAAATTATTTAATATTTGTCAAATCAGACACGATGTGTAATATATATTCATGTTCTCAAGGATTGCATATTGACTAAAATTAAAAATGAAATAGATTGTGTGAATTGATCAAAGATTTATTCGTTTTATGTTTTAAACTGACAAGACGGATAACGGACAGAGAAGCATGCAGTGCAAACCCAGGTTTTGCTTCTTCTGCATGAAAGAAACCCAAGAACCAAATCTCATCCCTTTGTGACTCTGCAGGGAGGGACGAACCCTCATCTGGATCCAATGTCCATGAAGTCTCCACGTCTCTCTGTTCTCCTTTCTTCTCGGAAGGGAATATCGTTTTTTCCACTGCTTTATACTTCAAGTACATGGATATGTGACATTCATTTCTTTCCCAACGGCCCGCCAGAAAAGAAGTGGATTTTAAAAAAGAAACAACCATGTCAAGAAGAGCATTCATAAAAAGCCTTCATATGACACATTTTGTCTCCGATGTTCAGTGACAAGAAGACATTTTAGGTAAAATAGATTTTCTGAAGAAAATAAAATTGACGTACGCGGCCTTCAGTAACTTCTCACAGTTTGTATCGGACAAAAGAATCGTGCTGAAATTCAAAGGGATCGAGCCAATGACAGTCTCGTGTGAGGCGTTCTCGACTGCGTCTGCATGTAATACAGTCTGTTTACGATACTGCTAATCAAAACATGGCCTCAAATGAGCACCGACAGCATGTGGGCACCACCTGAGCGTATAAGAACAATGCCGAGGCATCTGCACACATGTTGCGCTCATACATGCGAGTAACATTAACCCCAGCACACTTGCAGAACAGAATCAACCTGGATCTACCTGGATTCCATCAAACGTATGCACTTCCCGTTTGGCTCCTGTTGCTCATCAACCAAACTCCTCAGGCTTAGTGTAACAGTGTAAATGATATTTACTTGAAATCATCTGCTTTTTGTCATTAATAATCCTCGCCATATGACGTAAGTTAACCCAAACTGTCTGTCAAATCAGTTTACAGGATAAGAACAATCACGCTGTGAGGGAGTAAAGGGGATTGTTTAAAAGACAGCGAATGCTGCTATTGCTGGTGAATGGAGAGAGATCACTAGCGTATGTTTCATAGCTCCTAGCCGAAAGCATTTTAAGATTGCTTTGTAAACCGTAAAGGATGTGGATTTGGGGCGAGTTCACACAAGCACCTGTCACTCGGTTCTAAATGATACAAAGGCTTGGCAGATGCTAATGGACATGTTCCTATTTAGGAAATCTGATCCACTCACACATGAAGTACTCTTCTATTGAGCTCAGTGATCTTCAGCTTCATGCCAAACATGGTGTCAGTGAAGCCTTTGGTGTTTTTTTTTTTTTTTTTGTATATTGCCTACATTAGGGATGTGCGCAACGGTTACTTTCATTAACGCTGAAATGGAAATTTTGCAACTGACTAGTTTAATGCCTGCTACAACCTGTGCGATTTCAGCAATATAAGATCATCATTACAAATAACACTAGACCACATGGATGGTGTCATTTGAATCGTAGGCTACGACATAAGTTAGTAGGCTATACAAGAATAAAACATTAGTGTAAACATAAAGCCAGATGAATTGCACTTGGCAAGTGTGGTTTTTAAATGGACTGAAAAAGAGGAGTAAGCTGTGAGAGACACTGTCATGGCTAGGGAAAAGAGGCCAACTTGGCATGGCAATTTTGCAAATGGAGCTGAGGCAAGTAGTTTTTACATTTTAGTGCCATGTCACATTGATCAAGGCGCCATTTTATGTTGCATTATTATTGGCTAACATGTTGTAGACATAGGTCGTAGTAGCAAACACACTGTGAGATGATCATGCTAAATGTATGACACTGTCAGATAATTGACCCTTCGCTAAGCCCCGCCCTCCCTAGTTACTGTTGCTACGCCTGTCAAGCTTTCGCGACTGGCCCATCTATTATAGTGTGGATGCACCCGGTGTCAGACATTCCCAATGAGATAATTAGTAATTTTCGGCGAACAAGTGAAATATCTGAGAGAGCAAGACAAAAGGGACTACAGTATGCATTCGAGGGATATATTCACGACATTATATGCAACCGATTAGAGAATAATTTCTTAAAAATTGAAGTTAAAGCCTAAAGTTATAGTCCCAGTGCAAGCAGCAGCGCCTCATACGCTGACCGTTCAAATGGAAAACACAAATTGAGGAACAGCTGTGTTCATACACAGCAGGGTATGTGAAAATAATCTTAATAGTTATAAATCAAACAGCTTATCAATAAATCTTGTGGAATAACTAATACCTGGAAGAGCCGCGATCGGATTGGGTTAAGTTAAGGGGTAACGTTAGTAGGACGTCGATTAACAAAATGCTGAAATATATTTTAAAGTATGTCAGTGAGCCTTTGTCTTGTCTCTTTAATAGTCTTATTTTACGTTATCATTATGACCAAAGGGTCAATATTTCCAAGCAATGGGTGTTTTTGTTAAGCATGTCGACATTTACCAGAATGGGTCTCGCACATAGATGCTAGATCACGCCAATCATTTCTCCCCTTGGCTTTTAGATTTTCTGGAAGGAAAACAATTCCTCTCCCCCGTCCAAACTTTTAGTATAGCGGTATCATATTTGCACAATCCATACGCACAATGCTTCAGCATGCTCCCTCGTTCGAAACCTTGCCAGACCTCCCGCGCATAGTTACGGTTGCTAAGACATGATTGGCCAGTGGCTGTTTCGGGCGTGGCTTAGCGAAGGGTCAATTATCGCTGGCTATCTTTGGTCGCAAGATAGTGACAATGGCGGTATTTGAACTTTTCTCACAGCACGATGTACCACCGTTTAGGAGCCACGACCACAGAAATCACCAAGAATGGTCATCTTTCATCTGGGACAACCCAAACCCGTACAATGTGCACCGGCCATAACATGACGCGTGGCAAAATCGCAAGAAAAGCTTGACTTATAGGCTACTGACAACTGCTGACATAGCAACTGTTATATATATATATATATATATATATATATATATATATAGGGAACAGAGGTAACTGTTTTAAAGAAATAATTAAAGAAATAATTTTTTAAAAAATAAATCGTACTTTTTGATTTTAGGGTGAAATATGACCCAGACAATTCATTTGTTTCAAAAATGACACATACACACACACACATACACAAACACACCTGTCTATAATTAGCCACAGACTTTTCCCGGCAGACATACAAATCTGGGAAAACCATGAGTGTACCTCTGAAACTAATTTGCTGGGCATGACTGACCCAGCCTGGCATAGACGTATCTAGAGGCTGATCTTACAGCAGATACGCCATGCCTTATCAGTGCAAACATTACTCTGACAGTACAGATAATAGGTAGAGAGACAGGAAGTGGTAATGTAATAATAATATCTGCAGTATAATTGGTTAAAGTGGCACAATAAGGCTTTCTCAGAACTCCCAGACAAATACATTCTGTATTGAGCTCATACTTCACGCCGCGAGGTGAGTAAGGCTTGTTAACTAAACATCTCTTGATATTTGGAGCCAAACCGAGGGGTCCACAATTAAGACCCAGACAAAACAAGGTACAAAGCCTCATTCGCTTTGTGACTAACCACAATCTGACCCCAGGTTCACCTTGACATGTTCCAGAACCACCCGCTGGTTATCATCCCGCTGTCTGCTGTTCTACTGAGAGCCACTAGAGGCCACCACACCTCTTCTAGAGTAGATTACACAATCATACCAATGATCCAATTCAATAAGAAAACTGTTTGGACCCCAATAATTGATCTCATGTTTGTATCTACATAAACAAAGGTACTGGAAAAGAATATGTAAACTGACTGTTGATTGTTTGACTGAGGCTTGTTTCATAAATGAAATACAAGATGCAATTATGAGTCACAGTTTACTGAGCAAATTTATTTTTATTTGAACACAAACAAACTCTAGAGCTACTCTAATCATCGTCCAGTTATAGAGAGAAATCCTCAGATGTGTGTTGTACTTCAACAGATCGGAGCACATCTGTCCATATGTCACAGTTAGCATGTGATGTTTTATCTACGCCCAATTCATTTTAAAACGCCCAACTACTTTCCCAGTACTTTCCATTTCAGGGTTCAAGAAACCAGGAAATTATAAACTAAATGTTCTAAGTGTCTCTGGCCTGCTGTCCCGGACACAGGTTTAGCCAATGGGGTGAATCTATAGCGGTTTCAACAGAGAAACACTATTACCAGCGTAATTGAGCCCAGGAGCGCTTTCACTCTTTCCAGAAAGCTCAGCATCATTATCGTCTATGTTGCAGAAATACTTTCAGATTATCAGTAGAAGACTTTGAAACTAGTGCAGATTTTTAGTGCAGACACTATTACTAACACTTTTCTTGCGATATAAGATATTTAAAACATATTTTTTAAGCTGCACAGATGTTTAGTGACAGAAAAGAGAAAATTAATATCAGCAAGAGACCTTGAGGCGATTGAAGCAATAAAAGAATGAAAAATAGACAAAGATGAAGATTAAAACACAAGAAAGAAACTAGATAATTTAAGGAACATTTACCGGGTAACCGTCGCGCCCAGATTTGCCCTGTGCAAAGAAAAATTGGGTATAATAAATAAATAATGTCAGGAAAAAAAAGGATTACAAATCTTAAAGGAGAACTCCGGCGCAAAATGAACCTTTGGTCTAATGAAACATCGGTACCTAGTCAACCGTTCTTGTTTTCATGATAATTGAATGTAAAGAGTCTCTAAAAACTGTTTAGCGTATAACGCTAGTACTGGGGGCATTTACTAAGTAAAAAGAAATCGCTAGTTTATACCACTGACAAGGCTTAAAATAGCCCCACTCTAACACAGTAACATAATGAGGGTTCCTACATGCAAAACGAAGCATTGAGAAGTTTGTAAGTGTACAGACCGTTTAATAAAGAAGATAAATTAATTTATCGGGGATAAATTAAATCCCCGAACACCGTTCATTCAGTTCAGAAGTTCGCTGAACTTCATGCAGTTCAGATCACTCAGCACGACGTTCGTGGTTTGACTTGTCGAGACTGTTTTCCAAGATTGGGGTCGTATAAACCCCATGACCCGATTGAGGGCTACAAAATATTGTAGTCACACGATTTGAAAAATTGCAGTCACACAATATGACATCTCCAAGCATTAATCAGATCAACGAAATCTTCATGAAATACGGATTAGAAGCCACGTATTTGCTTGAAACAAGGTGTTGACGGCTTGATTTTAACCTAAATCTAAAGCAGGTGTCAGACAGTAACCTGTTGTTTCGCTGTGTTACACTCTTGTTGGTTACCAGAACATTAACAGTGGATCAGAAGCACTGAATCTTCTAGAAGCCACCCTGCTTTTCAGCTTTTCCAAAACTTTATTTTCTAACTTTATTCTAGTTTTATTTTAGAGCACTGGTTCGAGCATTCTAACTTACTGTACGGCTCATCTGTGAAGATTCTAGAAATTACAAATATTCCCAAATGTAAAAATTTCAGGAGCTATGAAAGATCCCAGAACTTTAAGGCAGTTTCTCAGCTTTTCAAACGTTTTTGACTCACCCTTCAAACGTTTTTTGTCAGCCTTACCACAATACAGAGCTCATATCATTCAGAGCTGCATGTCATTATTTTGAAGTGTGAGGACGGGTTACTTACTGGGGGTCCTGAAAAATAAAAAAACACAACAAAGAGACGCGTAAAACAAAGCCAACTTTCTTTTCACTTTCAGTTTAACTTAATGATCAAAAATACACTTTCACTTTCACCAAAGAGGAAAACCTCTAAATAAATGTTTCCTCATACAACATGGCACCGAGATGTATGTCAGGTAAGTGTTATGACCCTCAGAGGAGACAAAGAGGTTTAAGAGACACATTGAAGTTTTATGAGGCAGAAAGTTGTTGGTATTTACTGACGTCTAGACGCTGACAGAACTCGCTCCTCTTAAGAGTTTAAAGAAAACATTCACTCAGCACAGTCAAGCTCGGACCGTTGTGAATGAAACAGCTTCACCATTTGGAAAGCATACCCAGGCTAAAAAAATACGCTCTAAGAACGCTTTGCTAACGTTTCCTATTACGTTATAAAATACATTATGTCCTCTGAACGCTCAAAAAATGTTAAATTAAACTAAACTTTTTTCTTGGTTATGCAGATGTTGATGGAGTAGTTCACTTTTTAAAAAAACTTTTGCTGATAATTTACTCACCCCCATGTCATCCAAGATATCCATGTCTTTCTTTCTTCAGTCGAAAAGAAATTAAGGTTTTGGATTAAAACATCCCAGCATTTTTTCTCCATATAATGGACTTCAATGGGAACCAAACGGTTCAAGGTCCAAAAGACGGTTTCAGTGCAAACTGTTCAAAGGGCTTTAAACGATTCCAGATGATGAATAAGGGTCTTATCAAGCGAAACGATCGCTCATTTAATAAATAAGTAACAAAGTTTACGTTTTATAAGCTCAAATGGTCACCTTGCTCTGTTCTGTGATGCGCGTTCGTGACTCTCCTGTTCGAACTCGTTCATCAAAACGAACGAATCTTTTTCCAAATCAATTTGTTCGTTTTGTTCATTGAATGAACCAAATGACTCAGAAAAAGATTCATTCATTTTGATAAACGAGTTCGAACAGGAGAGTCACGAACGCTCATCACAGAACAGAGCAAGGCGACCATTTGAGCTTATAAAACGTAAACTTTTTTTTTTAAAATGAGCGATCGTTTCGCTTGATAAGACTCTTATTCATCGTCTGGAATCGTTTAAAGCCCTTTGAACAGTTTGCACTGAAACTGTCTTTTTGACCTTGAAGCGTTTGGTTCCCAATGAAGTCCATTATATGGAGAAAAATGCTGGAATGTTTTCATAAAAACCCTTTATTTCTTTTCGACTGAAGAAAAAATGACATGGATATCTTGGATGACATGGGGGTGAGTAAATTATCAGCAGAAGTTTTTTTTAAAGTGAACTACTCCTTTAAGTAAACTTTCACTTTTATCATTCTTCTAACATTATGGGAATGTTCTCATTCATTTTAAAAGCATTATTAAAGACCATATAACTTTGATCCCACATTCAATTAATGTACAGAGAAACGTTCTGAGAATGTTAACTGGGTAAGTGCAAAATGGTAAAAGAGAAAGAGTTTGACTGTGTGTGTGTGTGTGTTTTATGGAGTTAACTGAGGAAATTTAAATTGTTTAGTAAAAAGATTGATTTTTCAATTGATGAGGGCTGTATTTGAAAGAGCCCTTTTTAATTGAGTTATCATGGACGCATGCGACCCATAATGCTTGCGCTGATTAGTCTGCTAAATATCTTCCAGCTTTCCAACCATATTTTCTCTCACATACTCTCGAGAAACAAACAAACTGTTGTGCAACAGAGAACCTCCTCCATCCATTTCCCCACATTCAACTCTTCCCGCCCGCATTACGACCCAAACTACAACAAGCACGCACTGTTAAACAGAACCATGTCTCGCAGACTTAGTGACAAAATGACCCACTATCTCTATGTAAATAAAGTGTTCTGCCAGCGTTTTAAGTTCCTCTCCCAGGGCAGCGGAGCTGGAACAAGTCTGAAAAACAGATGTAAAGAATTGCCATCCTGTCCAAATGCCAGTTGCATGGGAACTCCACGGTCGGAGATATAATCCGATCTGGTTAGGAGGTGAATATAGGTTCTGCCGCACAAACCGTTCACGTTATCCAAAGATAAGGCATACTTAAGGTCCTTAAGGATAAAGATATTATCCTCACAAGCTGTACCGATGGCTTCTAGAACAAGTGACGCGACAATGAATCATTCTGAATCTGGGCCCTTGACAGCATCATGAGTGTCTACCGCACGGCTCACTTAGAAATACATCAGCGTCTTTATTTGTCATCATCAGTCTGAGTTTAATACCTCTGAATCATCTGAGGGTCGGTGACTCAAAACCACATTCAATGAGGATTTCTTCCCTGTCACATCTCATGATTGTGATTTAAGCACACTATATAGTAATAATGTTTATAGAAAGGCGCTATACATCAAGAACAAGCTACATAAATGAAGAGATGGCACTCACCGGGGTCACCTCTTCTGCCCATCCGTCCACGTTTCCCAGGAGGACCTGAAGAGACAAAGAATGACTTGATAAATATCTTGAATACATTTTGCAATTGATTTGACTTGCATTTCTGAGTCATTACTGAGGTTTCAGAACACATGGATTTATTAAAAGGATCTTCCGATCAGATGTTTGTTGAATCCCATGTGAATGCTGTTAGGGTTTAAGTCCAATGACGAAGAAGGTACAAATAATGACAGTCTTTATTAAACATAAGCCAGCAACTTGAAACAGTGTGCCATGCACAAACAATACCAGACCAAGATTGAGCAAAGGTGAGGAACTTAAATACATATGCTGATAAATAATAAACAGCTGTGAGGATTAAATTCATATCCATGGTGGAAATATGAGAACAAATGAACACAATAAAACAGGTGACTAAACAGACTGATAGAAAACGAAATTAAAACTAAGCATAACCGTGGCAAATGCTGAGATGCAATAATAATGAACTTAGTTCATTTAAAATATATATTGCATATATAATAGTCAGTTTCACAAAGAAATGTGTTACTTTTGACAACCAAATCAACACCAATGGATAGTACCAATAGGATTTTTAATGTGACATTATTTTCATGGCAATAAAAAAAAATCTTGTAAAGCAGCATTTAGCAGAACGTTTTGGTTAACTTAATCTTGCATTTTTATTTGATGTTTATTGAATTATTTTGAGATCAAACAATAATTGTACCCCTTGTTAAAGTTAATGTAAAAAATCTGATTTTCATTAAATATACAACCGAAATGAATATCATCTTACCTGATAGTAAAACAAATATTGTTTGGATTATGGAAATACAAATTTTAACTGCGAGACTTGGAGAGATTTAAATTTGCTTCATTGTCTTGAAAATAAAATAATAATTATTATTGTCAATCTAAAAATGATCATTTATTTTCTCCAAGCTTAATATTTTTCCGGAGTGAAATCCGACCTGGACATTCCGTGACCGTTTTCATGAGATTCACGCTAACAGAAGTCCATATGAGCCAAATGGCAGTAACTTGACCTTGGCAGTAGAAAGGTGTAAAAATAGCACTACATGTGTGATAACCAGAACCATTTGAGTTTAAACTATGGAAACGATCAAGATTAGGTTCAAATCAATAGTTCTATGATAAAAGCAGATGAAGTGTGTATATCTGTACATGAGGCATCTGGGCACCTCGCATCACTTCCTGTATATGTAAGTCAGAACAAAGCAGCCGAGGGCATACCTCCCAGACGGTAGCCAGGTCCCCCTTCTACCCTCCTCTCTGTTCCTCTGGTTAACCGATTAACCCCCTCCTTCTTTCTGTCCCTTGGGCACTAAATCACTTCCATCAACCTTTTTTCCCTCCCTTAGGTACTGTGAAATAGAAACCATACCTGAGCTTGGCAGGAGAGGGGGATTCTGGGATGCTAACAAGCTTGGGTCGCAGACTCACTCTTCTTGTTGGCATTATTGTTATTGTTCTAGGTTAATCAACCCCTGCTGGTTTAACCCCTATTAGAAAGATTGTCAAGAAAGGGTCTCAGGGTTTCAATTCCCCGGTGTGGTTCACTTTACTAAATCTAGCGCATCCAGTCTCCTTACAGGAATGTTCAATGTTCAATACGACTTAAACTCCGTCGCATCTGTGACATGCACTCGAATAACACAGGAAATACATTCTACATGTCTCAGTTATTTATCTATTCTTTTATTTTTGCAGTTCTTGTCTTTCTATTATTATAGGACAGTGAGTAGACAGGAAGCGAAGTGAAAGAGGGATCGGGAAAGGTCCATGAGCCGGAAATCAAACTCGGGTCATCCGAGCTGCCCACAGGGCTATCAGCACCGCACAGACGATGAGATCATTTTCACCTTGACCGCAATGTTTCATTCTCCATCATTCAAAGCATATTGCCTGTACGTAAATCAACTTTAACGTATATGTCATCGCTCTATCGCCTATAGGCCTATGTCACACTTCCTGCTTCCGGAACGCGGAGTAGAGATAAACAACTTCCGGTCAGTATTTCTCTATAAGGATTTAGATTATCAACCCTAATGTCTAAACCATCTGAGGAAGACTGACCACGAGCTATGAGGCTGTGAAACGAAGGTTTTTGCTCCTGTTGAAGATATAAGTTTGTATGAAATCAACCTTGTTTAAAGAAAAACGTGTTTTATCTGCATCTTATGAAAAAAAAAAAAACTACACTACCCACGATCCTAAGAGTAGTAGCAACGTCTGCTGATTGGTCCCCCTGGAACTCGCTGTTACCATAGAAACGTTTACCTTACTGGCGATTGGGTTGCTCTGCATCAGGACGTAGACAGGCGTAGACTCAGCTTTCACGCTTTCACACTTGAGAGTTTTCATTTACCATCCAAAGCACATTGTCATGTGACTTCAGACGGGTTGCGGAGAGATTTGGTCCAGCGGTATCTAGGGCTGTCAAATGATTAATCGCATCCAAAATCAAAGTTTTTGTTTACATAATATATGTGAGTGAACTGTGTATAATTATTTTATATATAAATACACACACATGCTTGTATATATTTAAGAAATATTTTCATGTATACACTGTATAAAGATTTATTTATATAATTTATATTATATACAAATATAAATATTTTATATATAATATTTTTTTCTTAAATATACATGCATGTGTGTGTTTATATATATATATATATATATACAAAATAATACACAGTTCACCCACATATATTATGTAAACACAAACTTTTTTTTGGATGCGATTAATCACGATTAATCGTTTGACAGCCCTAGCGGTATCTATCGGACTCCACCATTGTAAAAAGCTAACCTGAAGAGCCGTATCCCTACTAAAAGACGTACTTCCGTTCTTCAATTTTTTGGTGACATAGGCCTATTGCCTCAATGGTGTACAGTGTCTTTGGGCGGATTGCCAACAACAGTCCTTTTAGGATTGTTTGTGAATGGAGGCCCTGTTTATACCTAGTATTAAGATGCATTTTGGACCAGTCGGTCAATCGGACCACAAGTAGACAAGGGAGACACATTTCCGTTTACACCTGGTGTCTTTTTTGTCCACTTTCAACCACTTCTGTCCAGATTTCTTCAAGGGTAGGTTCTACAGGTGGTAAATGTATGGGTTTTTCAGATCTTTCGATCTAATGGACAAAATAAGCTTGTGCGATTTATATATAAACGCGCCTGGCGACGAGAAAAAACATACCGAGAACATCAGCTTTTGTTTCTGCTCTGACAGCCACAAGACGACGCGGATCGCTGTGAGTGCGTGTTAGAAATCAGGAAAAGGTGAGAGAACATTGTGCTTGGTACAATTTTCATCTTCAAACCAAACTTGGGTCTTCAGACGACAAAGTTTAAATCCCGTCTGGCTAGAGCGCTTCCCATAATGTTCACGTGTTAGGTCAGTAGGCGGAGAGTAGGCGTCTTTTGTGGCTGTTTGAACGCATTCGCCCAGATGGGTGTTTACACTATGAAAGCAATCCAGTTCAGTGCGTTTTCAATTAGCTCTGCAAGTGGTCAAAAGTGGACAAGCTCAAAGTATTTTACACCTGAATTTAGCCTTGTCCACCTGTGACCCAATCAAACAAAACACATCTTATTGCCAGGTGTAAACAGTGCCAGTGATTTAGGAGTCCTCTCAACTACCCCAACACAGATTTAGGAGCTGGTTTTAGTGCTAAAATGCTTGCTAAAAGGCCATTATTTTAAGAGTTTCTCCTAAATCGACAGGTTAGGAGCTACTTTTAGCCTTAGTGGCACTGAAATCACATGCTTTGCTTTTAATACTTGTTTTAACAAAAATGAGATGCACATTACTGCTTAAAAACCCCTTCGGGTTGAATTTAATTTGTACGTACAGAAGTGTACACACAGTTTACAAAGGAGGAAGTTATTATCCATGGTAAATGACAGCATTGATGCTTAACTTGTATAAAACCTGTAACATTCCTTGCCATACAGGTTAAATGTCACTAAGAGTACTGGAAGTTGTTTTGTACAAACCTATTTGCTAAATAACTACTGTGAAATCTTTCTTGTTAAGAAGACTTTCAGTCTTTGTCTATAAATTATATCGTACGCCATTCTCTTTCTATTGCTCTCTGTATGTTCTTTATAATAAACGGCTTTCGGCTCAACTTCCCCTGCCGTGATGACGTTCCAGTGTTTGTGTACGATAACACAAATCACAGTCAACATAGTGAAAATAGTGAGCCGTAGCTTCATCTTTAAGCTCTTCTGGCTTGCTGCACTACAGTATTAAATTACAAAAGACCAAACCACAACGGCTATAAATACAAGTGCAACTATGTTCTTCACTAACAGAGCCCATAAACACCACGAGGAACTCTGAGACGCTGGGCTGACGGCTCAATGCTGAAGACGCCAGTGAAAGGGGCCTCTCAAGCTTTTTATCTGTCAGCATTTGATGAACTGTCTCATGGACAATCATCATAAAAGTAACAACTGCAAGATTAAAAACTGGAATCTGGATGCAATCAAGGTCTTCGCCGTCTTAAAGTTCTCCCCGATAGCTGTCCCGTTATGTGAACATTAAGAAATCAGATAATTGAAGTGTGTCGTTATCCTCAGCTTTGACTATCTAACCGCTCGGCGAAATTCCAATCCTTATCCGATTGAGAAAATCTGGTTCTTATAGTCATGTAAAGGTTTGATTTAGCTACTGTGACATTTGGTCTAAAGCAAATGAAAACGTCATTGTTTTCCTCCGGCTTTGTGTTGGGAGCAACTGTTCGCAATAAGCGTCAGCAGTGAAACGCAGAATTCGATCCTCTCGGTTCCTTAACCACAACTGATTTCCTCTCCAGTATCCCTCGCTGACAAAATTAAATTCTAAAAATGGAACGGAAATTAGATTAATACCAGAAGGTGTGTGTGGTTTGCGTGGACATCGCCGTGACAAACCTTTGTCCCAGGCAAATTTAAACATAATCTGACAGGAAATTCACACATTATCTTTCAGTTATCCAACATCTGTAACTCAA